GAAAATGTTTTTAATTAATTTTCTAACAATTTTAATGTTAAAGTGTGTGTGGGGTGTGTGTGTGTTTTTGTATTTCATTGATGTCTGGGGTGGCTGTTGAGGGGGGGGCGTTTGTGCTGCATTTAATTTATCAAACCCGGTTCTCCCAGATTAGAGTCCGCGCACTTAACCACTACACCAAACTGGCTCTCAGGGAGGAAAAAAATAACGGCAGCCTCGCCGGGGAAAATTGTGCCCCACAAACCACAACGTCCTGGCTACAGGCCTGCCTGCACTTCAGCCTGGTTGGTCTTTGCCTCCACCCACCTTTCCCACCCAGGCCGGTATGCTGGACCTCCTGGGGGGGGGGATCACACAGACGATCCTCTGCCTCCTTCTCGTCCTCCACTGCCACTTTCCTAGCGTGCAGCAGAGGGGGAATGAAGAAGGGTGCCTCTCTCTCTCACCCGTGCCTCGGTTCCCTGGAGGGGGGGGCATTTCTCTGAATTCCAGCGGCTCTCAAAGTGCCCAGCAGCCAGAGCTTGGCCACACCACTCTGAACATAGCCTCACGCCACTGGTGGTATACCTGCTCTCCTGTCTCTGCAGACGATCATCACCACCCTGCAGGACTCCAGCCAGAACCAAGTGGGCGTCGCCAAGACGGAGCTCCAAGCGACGGAGAAAATGGTGGAGAAGAATATGGGAAGTAAGCGGCGTCCCGTTTGCCAGCCCCAGCCAGTGGGTCCGAGGGGAGCGCTGGCCCTGGTTTGGCACTCACAGAAGTCGTGTCCTGGTTTGATAAAGAAAAGACCAAAGAAGCGCTAAAAATGGACAAAAACCAGGGCTTTTTTTTGTAGAAAAAGCCCAGCAGGAGCTCATTAGCATAATAGGCCACACCCAACAACAGAAACTCATTAGCATATCCAGCCACACCGATGAGAGCATAGCTCATTAGCACATTAGGCCGCACCCCCATGTTACCAGAAGTATAGTCATCCAGCCACACCCACCTTTTGCTTCTTATTCTGTTTACCTTGCTTGTTGTCAAAACCTAGGGCTTTTTTTGTAGCAGGAACTCCTTTGCATGTTAGGCCACACACCCCGAATGTAGCCAATCCGAATGAGTTTCTGCTGTTGGGTGGGGCCTATTATGCTAATGAGTTCCTGCTGGGCGTGTTCAACTTGGGAGCCAGCCGGACCGCCGTTCCTGTGTGTCCCTGCCCAAAAATAGCCCTGAAAAACAAACTACAAAATATACGTATGTGTGATACAGTGTAAGTACAAGGAAGTGCAAGGTGATATTCTGTAACATGAACGTAAGAACATAAGAAGCCAATGTTGGATCAGACCAATGGCCCATCCAGTCCAACACTCTGTCACACACAAAAATACCAGGGGCCATCAGGAGGTCCAGCAGTGGGGCCAGGACATTAGAAGCCCTCCCACTGTTGACAACCCCCCCCCCCTCCCAAGCACCAAGACAAGAATATAGAGCATCACTTGCCCCGAAGTCCCTATCTATACCTTGTGGCTAATAGCCACCAATGGACCTCTGCTCCATATGCTTATCTAATTCCCTCTTGAAGCCGTCCATGCTTGTAGCCACCACCACCTCCTGTGGCAGTGGATTCCATATGTTAATCACTCTTTGGGTGAAGAAGTACTTCCTTTTATCTGTTCTAACCCGACTGCTCAGCAATTTCATGGAGTGCCCACAGGTTCTTGTATTGCGAGAAAGGGAGAAAAGTATCTCTTTCTCTACCTGTTCTATCCCATGCATAATCTTATAAACCTCGATCATGTCACCCCTCTGCCGTCGTTTCTCCAAGCTAAAGAGCCCTAAGCGCCTTAACCTTTCTTCATAGGGAAAGTGTTCCAACCCTTTGATCACTCTAGTTGCCCTTTTCTGCACTTTTCCCAAAGCTGAAATATCCTTTTTAAGGTGTGTACAATGAAGATCCAAAGTCAAATGAAATCATCTGACGAAATTTCCGGACGGTGTGTTCGTTTTGTGAGTCTTCTTCTGAAAAGGGCCAACATATAACTTTAGTCTGCAAAAACCATTCTGAATTCTTTATGTTGAATATGATGGCCCGTCTACTGATCCTTGATATGCCTTGTAAAATCCTATACGAATATATCATTTCTTGTTTGAAGAATAATGATTATTAACTGTATACAGACTTCTCGACAAGCAGAAAGAATGGTTTTTGCAGATTGAAGTTCTATATTGGCCCTTCTCAGAAGAAGACTCACGAAACGAACATACTGTCCGGGAATTTCGTCAGAAGATTTCATTTGACTTTGGCACTTCATTGCACATGTTATAGAATATCACCTTGCACTTTCTTGTTGTATCACGCATATGTATATTTTGTAGTTTGTTTCTGTCTATTTAGCGCTTTATACACAGCCTTGTTTGATCTTTTCCTTTGTCTTCATGCCTGTAGTTCTCTAATTCCGTTTATTTCTGGTTTGATAAGGTGCCAATCAGGCTGGTCTCCATAAAAGTGGAGTCCATCAGGCCTGTAGCGATGGTAGGGCTTTTGGGGGGCTCCACTCCCTTTCTTAAAGGCACAGCCCCACAAGAATCTCTCCTGTAAATGTGTTTTTTGATCATTAAACATATTTAAAGGCATGTGCCCCTTTAAGCAGAGTGGGGTGCTGTAATTGACTGATTCCTGCACTGAGTAAGGGGGTTGGAGTAGGTGACCTCTAGGATCCCTCCTGACTCTGTGTCAAGAAACTGGTCTCCTTGAAGAGAGTCTTTCTGCCCAAATGTTAGCTTTCTTGACCTATAGTCATCACCCCCACCTGCCGGGCTTGTTATCGGAATTGTTGCTTAGGCTAGCAGGAGTGATTAACTTGCAGCAAGCTGAGAACAGTAATCTAAAGTGGATGAGAGCTTGCAATTTAGAGATCAATCCTGGTCACAGCTTTCTGTTAGCTCAATGGTTTTTCTTTCTGCACTGAGACCTTCAGCCCCGCCGGGGAAAAAATTGCCCCACAAGCCACAAAATTGTGGCTACGGGCCTAGTGGAGCCTATCTCTGTGCCTTCAGTTTTTCCATTTATTTATTTACATCATGCTTTTCTCCCCAGTTAGGGCTCAAAAGGGTGTTTATAATATCGTTCTCCCATCCTTCATTTTCTCACAACTACAACCCTGTGAGGGAGGCCAGGTGGAGAGTTGGTGACAGGCCCAAAGTCGCCCAGCAAGCTTCCGTGGTAGAGGGCAGAGATTGGAACCTGGGTCTGACTCGCGGTATGCTGCACCACACTGGCTCTCTGTGGGGAAAAGCTGGCCTATCATCTCCGGGGAAAGTTTGCCATGGGGGTGGCCGTGCAACCACTGCCTCCTGGTCCCAGAGCTCAGAGTGTGGGAGGTATGCCCCAGGAGATCCTGGAATTGTGTGGAGATCCTGGAACTGTGGGCCACGACGGTCCTTCTCTGCTATACAGAACAAGAGGGGTCAGAAGGCTGTGGATACCCCAGGAAAGCCCGATCTCATCAGATCTCAGAAGCTAAGCAGGGTTGACTCTGGCAAGTACTTGGAAGGGAGACCTCCAAGCAGGGGTCATTTTGTAGAAAAAGAGGTGCAGGAGCTAATTAGCATAACTCATTAGCATAACTCCTTTGCATACGCCACACACCGCTGACATCACTGGAAGTGTGTCAGAAGGCAACACCCCCACCGCTCAGGCTCCACTGGACTGTCTTGGATTGCTAGCTGTTGGGGGCAGGGGGGAAGTGCAGATCTGTCCTCGCAGAGGAGGGAGAGCTTGTACCTGAATAAAACATGGTCTTAAAGGTGCCACTGGACTGTTTTGGACCGGGGGGGGCGGG